CGCCTGGCCTTCCCTTGTCTCTTATGATGAGTTGCAAAAGGGCTGCAGTCAGCCACCCCTCATGGACAGACCGAGGCTCCCTGGGCCTGGTGAGCTTGAGATACCATGTGAGAACTGTTCATCCTGTTGTAAAGACTGGTCTGGCAAGTCTCCAGAGGTTACCAAGTTCCTGGGCAGTCTCCATTTACTCATGTGAAAGCTGATTAGACTGAGTTTTAAGGGTCCTTTTGCCCCCTGGCTCGGTGTGTTCAATTCATGCCCACCAGTGGTTGTGGAAGTGAGGCAGGCTCTTCCCTGTGGCACCTGGTCCCATTCCAACGCCTTCATTCTCTTTGAGACATGCAGGTCCAGGGTTCATTCCTGATCTATTTGCATGGCATTCTAGCTCTATCCTTCTTCTACCACATTTAAAAATCCATCTGATACCTTTAAAAAGTGAATGTTTCTGTGTAAATTATACCTCAATAAACCCGGCTTTTTAAAAATCTTTCTTTTTCTTTTTTTTGAGACAGAGTCTTGCTCTGTCATCCAGGCTGGAGTGCAATGGCCCAGTCTCAAGTCACTGCAACCTTTGCCACCCAGGTGTAAGCAATTCTCCTCCCTCAGCCCCCCAAGTAGCTGGGATTATAGGCATGTGCCACCACACCTGACTAATTTTTGTGTTTTTTAGTAGAGACAGGGTTTCACCATGTTGTCCAGGCTGGTCTCAAACTCCTGGCCTCAGGCCTCCTTGGCCCCGCAAAGTGCTGGGATTGCAAGCATGAACCACTGTGCCTGACCTAAAAATCTATTTTTGAAGCTTCTATTTATCTCAGTAACTCTTCCTCAAGGCTCTTAACCTACAAGATGTAAACTACACAGACACTGGGGCAGTCGGTTCTGGTAGATGACAAGCCTGCATTTCCATTCTTTCAGTTGGTGGAGACTTGGTGGCTTCTGAGAGAAAAGAGACCTCTTGTAGCACCTTCTGATGCAGCTCTCCATACATAGTTGGAAAAGTCCAAGAAGTTCCTGATGGACCTTTCTAGAAGGGGGTAGGCCTGGGTCACAGAACAAGAACCCAAGGAATCACTGGACATCAGATGCCTCCAATTAAGTTTCTCTTCTCGTAATAAAATTTGATTATAAGTTTTTCTTTGAAAAAGTCAGCTACGTACTCTGGCTTTCTCAGATTCACAGCTACTGATGAATGCAGAAGCACATAAAGGAGTTAAAGATACAGGCCTTGGAGACAGGGCTGCGGTACTGGGTGAATGTAATAATGTAAGTGAAGAGCTTAATGCTGTGTTAACTGAGAGTAGGTGCTGAATACATGTCAGTTATCCTCATTCTTGTCATTAGTTGCGCCATTTTGGGGTATTGCCTTTAGTCATCTTACTGGGATAATCTGTTGTAGTTATCATCCGACGTGGTGGGGAATCTCTGAAAGGAATACATGGGACAAACTCTCAATCCTTTTCCAAAAAGTTTTTTGATATCTTGAATGGAAAATGTAAAAGAGAGACCATGAATATGATTAATTTCTATTGTGGTTGACATGGCGGAAATTGACTTCTTCTAAAAGAAAGACATTTCTTTAAAAAAAAAAAAAACTTTTAGATTCAGGGAGTGTAAGTGCAGGTTTGTTACAAAGACATTATTGTGTAATGCTGAGGTTTTGGGTGCAATTGAATCTGTCACTGGAGTAGTGAGCATAGTACTCAATAGGTAGTTTCTCAACCCTTTCCCCACCCCCACAACATCTGGTAGTCCCCGTGTCTGTTGGTCCCATCTTTATGTCCATGTGTCCCCAGTGTTTAGCTCCCACGTATAAGTGAGAATATGCAGTGTTTGGCTTTCTGTTTCTATGTTAGGTCACTTCGGATAATGGCCTCCAGCTGCTTCTGTATTGCTGCAAAGAACATGATTTCATTCTTTTTTGTGGCTGCATAATATTCCATATTGTCCATGTACCACATTTTCTTTATTCAATCCACCATTTATGGACTCCTTCGTTGATTCCATGTCTTTGCTATTGTGAATGGTGCTGTGATGAACATATGAGTTATGTCTTTTTGCTAAAACAATTTATTTTCCTTTGGGTATATACCAGTAATAGGATTGCTGGGTCACATGGTAATTCTATTTTTAGTTTTTTGAGAAATCTCCAAACTGCTTTCCAGAGTGGCTGAACTAATTTACCTTCCCATCAACAGTATCTAAGCATTCCCTTTTCTCTGCAGCCCCTCCAATATCTGTTGTTGTTTTTTTACTTCTTAATTATAGCCATTCTGACTGGTGTGAGGTGGTATCTCATTATGGTTTTAATATACTTTTATCTGATGATTAGTGATAATGAGCATTTTTTCATGTGTTTGTTGGCCTCTTGTATGTGAAAGAAGTTTCTTAATCAGACCAGGAAATCGATTCATATTTTTTTAAAAGAAAAAAAATCATTTTGAATGTGATGCCACAAAACAGCCCCCTTTTTATTTTGTTAAAACCTAGATTTAAGAGGAACCAAGAGGAGTAAGGTAGGCAGCCCCTAAGACGCCCCCCAATTATCCCCCTTCCTGGCATTCATACCCACGTGTAATCCCTTTGCCTTAAGTGTGGGCTTCCTTCAATGAGAAATAGAATATGGCAGAAGTGATGAGATGTCACTTCCAAGATTAGGTTATAAAAAATTTATGGCTTCTATTTTGTGCTCTCTCTCTCTCTTTCTCGTTCTCTCTCTCTTTCTCTCTGTGTGTGTGTGTGTGTGAGAGAGAGAGAGAGAGAGAGAGAGATCGATCACTGGCCTTGGGAAAGCCAGCTGCAATGTTTTAAGGCAGCCCTGCGGAGGCTCCTGTGATAAGGGATGGAGGCTTGACAATAACCACATAGTGAGCTTGAAAGCAAATCCCCCAGCCTCAGCTGAACCTTCAGATAAGACCACAGTCTCAGCCAGCAGCTTTACTGAAACCTCACAAGAGACTCTGAGACAGAGACACCCAGTTAAGCCATGCCCAGATTCTTGACCCTCAGAAGCTGTGAGATAATGAATGTTTGTTGTTTTAAGGCACTAAATTTTGGGGCAATTTGTTATACAGCAATAGATAACTAATATTAATAGTAGAGGTTACACAGTTGGGAACATACTTTTTTCTCTTATTCTAAGGCATATATTGGAATAATTTCTAGCATAGAGATAGAGAATTTGATAATAATAATCATAGTCTTGAGTACTAAATGTATGCTAATTCATACTACTGCAAATTACTAATGGATTTTTTAAAAGAAATTTCTTTAAAGAAATAACACCAAGATTATTGTGGCAGTTGGGAAGGTAAGTGGGGCTTCTAGAAATCTGTCATATTACTAATAAGGGGATATGAGTGCTGTCTTTTAAAATGGGCGTGGTGATAGTGTGGGACAGAGATGTGCTTAACTCGTTCTATGTGACCCTGAAGAGGCAATGACTGGAAGCTGCAGGCAAGCAGGTGTGGTTCTCCAGAAATTTCCTTGTAGTTCCTTGAAACACCAAGAATAATTGTCATATCCAAAGCTTCACTATTTAAAAGTTGCATCTAAAGGCGAAAACTGTCAGCAAATAATGAAAGTGCTACTATTTGGTGCAGAATTTGGGATGATTTCAAAAGTTATTATTTTTCAGTTATTCTTTATGTCATTATATTGTCTTTGCAATTAAAATGAAATGTAAGAAAAGAATGCTAGACGCTTTGTATTGTTAGAACATGTCCCATTTTGGTTTGTTAACTTTGTCTCAGGCTGATCATCTCCTTTCTTCACAGAGAAAAGTCTGATGATCCCAGGAAACATAATTTCTTTAAAACGATCAACTTTCCTCGCCTGGAAGCCGGCCTAGTCAAACCTCCATTTGTGCCAGACCCTTCGGTGGTTTATGCCAAAGACGTCGGTGAAATTGATGATTTCTCTGAGGTTCGGGGGGTGGAATTTGATGACAAAGATAAGCAGTTTTTCAAAAGCTTTGCAACAGGTGCTGTTCCTATAGCGTGGCAGGAAGAAATTATAGAAACGGGACTGTTTGAGGAACTGAATGACCCCAACAGACCTACGGGTTGTGGGGAGGGTAATTCATCCAAATCTGGCGTGTGTTTGTTATTGTAAATTGCTCTTTACCAGACAGGCAGCAGGAGTCTCGGCTGATATAATCCTCAAATGTTCCCAACACATGGTAATCTGTGGAATGAGGGCTAATCAGTTAGGAGGGACATTGCAACCACAGAACAGTCCAAAGGACAGGCAGGCTCACTACTAGACACATTTCTTTTCTTTTTCTTTCTTTCTTTTTTTCATAAAGATGAGTAAAGTCTCAGTTTTGACTGAGGGCTGGGAAAAGAAACACTCAGGTTTATTTTGATAAACTAAAAGCATCAGCCTTTTACCAACGTGTCCCTGTGTATTACGCAAAGTCCTGGGAACAGAGAATGGAACTTTGTGGTGTGCCCAGAAAATGAGCATTTGCAATTCTTAGTAAATAATCATTTTAGTCTTTCTTTGTTTATGTTTTTTTCCCTTCATCTTTCTTCTGCTTCTATCCGTATAACAAGGATTTTGAAGCTGGAAATAAATGTCCCTGACATTCTCCCCCTAAAAAGGAGTGGATTACAATATTTTGGCAATGTTTTAGATCACAGAATAATTTTCAATTTCACTGACAGATTCTTTTACAATTTTTTGGAAATAACTTACTATCATAATGTTGAAGCATTTTAAATGTAAACATCCATGAGGTCCATGAATTAAAGTATTCTGTAAATTTAGTTGAGTCCTTTAAGTAATATGCTACAAATTGCTTAAAGTTGCACTACCAAATGCTGTCAGTTCCCAAACCTGCTGAACTTTGGAATCATCTAGGGGTCTTTTAAAAACTGAATGCCTGACTCCCACCCCTAGACATCCTGATCCCCACTCCCAGGTATGGAAACAGCATGACCATTTCGATGTTTCAGAAGCTCCCCAGGTGATTCTAATATGCAGCAAAGTTTGGCAGGCGCTGCCATGCACATTTGAATGTTATTACATTCAATCTCATTTTGGTTGCTCAAAACTTCAATCATACATTTTGATGGCAACTTTTCAAATGTCCCCAAAGCATGTCATTTTACCAATGGCAGTATAAATGAACAAGACAATCTGTATGCATCTTACAGCTTCTCTCATCCTTGCACACTTGAGTTTCTCCCACATATCTTGGGAGCTTGGTCTCTTGGCTATTTCAAGGCCTGAAGGAGACCTGTGGGCTTAGAAATTGAATCGAACAAATAGCAGCCCTCATTTCAAGTGGCTGCTCAGCCAGCATTGTATGGTAGAATTAGCACTTCTCAAAAGCACAGCCAAGGTGAGAATTCTACAGCTGCAAAAAATATTTGGATACAAATATAAAGCTGGGTGTTATTTTTTTAAAAGGATGTATGTGTGCATAATAAAATCTAATTTGTCCCAGTGGTAAAAAACTTGGCTGAAGTCAATTTAAAAGTTTTGTCCCTTGAGTAAGGAATTCAAGAGCTACAAAAGTATTGGTTAAAAAAAAAAAAAGATGTTGATTAGCCAGGCACGATGGCTCACATTTGTAATCCCAGCACTTTGGGAGGTTGAGGTGGGTGGATCATGAGGTCAGGAGTTTGAGACCAGCCTGGCCAACATGGTGAAACCCTGTCTCTACTCAAAATACAAAAATTAGCCAGGCATGGTGGCAGGCGCCTGTAATCCCAGCTACTTGAGAGGCTGAGGCAAGAGAATCGCTTAAACCCAGGAGGCAGAGGTTGCAGTGAGCCAAGACCACTCCATTGCACTCCAACCTGGGTGGCAGAGCAAGACTGTGTCTCAAAAAAAAGAATGTTGGTTAACTGGAATCTGGCTAACAGTAATACTCATTTCCAAGACAGCATTAACCATACCTGGAACAAGTTAAGAAGAAGCCCTCTGAAAGTTGAGGCCTGGGCTGGTGCACCTGCGGCTTACTTTCCTGCTCCTTCTCCATCCTCAGCGTGTTCCCTGATGCTCCAAATCCTAACCTAGGATGCTCAGAGTTCTGTGTCACCAAAGCAGGATACAGGTGTGCCCAGGAGAATTTTTTTCCTGAGGTAAGAAAGTAAATTCGAGTTTGGTTAAGTTTTGAACAAGTCCCATTTAACAAAAAACCGATTGGTGATTAACAGAAATCCAATTAACCAGAGCACCCCAATGGTAGAGTTCTCAGGATTGGGCTTTATAGACATTAGACATTTAAAAACAACATCGTGTTTATATGTTGATTATGCCTTAAAGCTGGCAGAGGAACAAATACAAGCTAAGAATTAAAGGCAAATATCCCAATTTTAAAAAGGACAAAAAACTTGGAGAGACAAAAAGTAAAAATGTCTTGTTGCATTGGTTCCGTAGTGTGAATCGCCTCTGCTTTCAATAAACGTTAAATGCAAATCTGTTTTATGTCTTAGAACTAATTCAGGAAAATTATTGAATAAGTAGTTGTATTAATCCATTCTCCCACTGCTATAAAGAAATACCCGAGGCCAGATGTGGTGGCTCAGGCCTGTAATCCCAGCACTTTGGGAGGCCAAGGCAGGTGGATCACCTGAGGTCAGGAGTTCGAGACCAGTCTGGCCAACATGGTGAAACCCTGTCTCCACTAAAAATACAAAAATTGGCCTGATGTGGTGGTGTGTGCCCAGCTACTATGGAGGCTAAGGCAGGAGAATCACTTGAACCCAGGAGGCAGAGGTTGTAGTGAGCCAAGATTGCACCACTGTACTTGCTCTGGGTAACAGAGCAAGACTGTGTCAAAAAAAAAACAAAAAAAAAAAACACTGAAACTGGGTAATTTTTAAAGAAAAGAGTTTTAATTGGCTCACAGTTCCACAGGCTGTACAGGAAGCATGGCTGGGGAGAACTCGGGAAACTTATAATCATGGTGGAAGGCAAAGGGGAAACAGTCATGTCTTACATGGCCAGAGCAGGAGTAAGAAAGCAGGGACAAATGCCACACACTTTTAAACAACTGGATTTCCTGAGAACTCACTCACTATCAAGAGAACAGCAAGGGGGAAATCTGCTCCGATGATCCAGCCACCTCCCACCAGGCCAAATCCCAAGATTTGGTGGGGACACAGACCCAAACCGTAGCAATACTCAATAATTATAAAAGTAATAAATAAAAATCACCAAATAAGTGTGGGTTGAGATCTAATTGCAGAAGTTGCGGTGAGCCGAGATCACTCCATTGCACTCCAGCCTGAGCAACAAGAGCGAAACTCCATCTCAAAAAAAGAAAAATATCTAAGTAGAATGCGTGGGGACGTTAGGGTCCGAGGCTGCTCCCCAGCCACTCTGTCACATGTGAGCCCCCATCTGGACCAAGTCACAGTGCAGGAGGCTCACCATGACATGGGCAGGTGAGGAGCAGGCCTGATCCAATGGGTTAAATGTTGGAGGAGTAGAGAAATTCGAGGGATAGGTGCAGGGTGTTTTGGGGGTCGGCGGGGGGAGGTGGTTGAGGAAAGATTTTTTTTTTTTTGGGGGACGGAGTTTCGCTCTTGTTACCCAGGCTGGAGTGCAATGGCGCAATCTCGGCTCACCGCAACCTCCGCCTCCTGGGTTCAGGCAATTCTCCTGCCTCAGCTTCCTGAGTAGCTGGGATTACAGGCACGCGCCACCATGCCCAGCTAATGTTTTGTATTTTTAGTAGAGACGGGGTTTCACCGTGTTGACCAGGATGGTCTTGATCTCTTGATCTCGTGATCCACCCGCCTCGGCCTCCCAAAGTGCTGGGATTACAGGCTTGAGCCACCGCGCCCGGCCGAGGAAAGATTTAAATCAGATGCAGCCAGATGCCTCATCAAAGGAAGGATGTAATTTTTGAAAAGACATGATGCTTGCTTATTTTTTAAAAGTTCAAATGACCTTATGCTTTCTTGGAAAAGCTCAATAAGCATAATGAAATGTCAGGGGAAACAAGACATATCTGAGTTAAATATTTAGATAAAGAAGAACTAGGCAGAAGTCATTTTTATTCTTCCAGTTTATCAGGGATTATTTTGAATGTTTGTTTCTCAAAGGAGGAGATGGAGTTAAGAAACTATGGAAAGGAGCTGAGAACAGCCTTGCAAGGCAGAAGATATAAATGATGGTTTTATAGGAAATAGTACGACGTTATTAATTTTACCTTTGTAAGCCACAAAGGGTTAAAAATTGTTCTCAACTTTTAATTTTTTTATTTTTGTTTTAAATTTTTGTAGATATAGGTTCTCATTATGTTACCCAGGCAGGTCTTTTGAACTCCTGGCCTCAAGTGATCCTCCAGCCTCCCAAAGTGCTGGGATTACAGGTGTGAGACGCTGCACCCAGCCTCAATTTTTTGTTTTGAATGTAGCTGGTTTTTTTTTTTTTTTTTTGAGACAGAGCTTTGCTCTTGTTGCCCAGGCTGGAGTGCAATGGCTTGATCTCAGCTCACTGCAACCTCCACCTCCTGGGTTCAAGCAATTCTCCTGCTTCAGCCTCCCAAGCAGCTGAAATTACAGGTGCCCACCACCACACCAGCTAATTTTTTTGTATTTTTAGTAGAGATGGAGTTTCATCATGTTGGCCAGGCTAGTCTCGAACTTCTGACCTCAAGTGATCCACCCGCCTAGACCTCCCAAAATGCTGGGATTACAGGCATGAGCCACCATGCCCAGCCTGAATATAAATTTTAATATGTTTCGCAGTTAGGTAACCAGGCATAAATGGCGAAATAATTCAACAACTTAAACCTTGCTTCTTGGAAATTGCTAGATGTATATCTTTTGAAATCATTACAGTCTATCAGATGGGCCAGGTTTGGTGGTGCACGCCTGTAATCCCAGCACTTTGGGAGGCAGAGGCAGGGGGATCATTTGAGCATAGGAGTTCGAGATCAGCCTGGACAACAGGGCAAAACCCTGCCTCTGCCAAAAATACAAAATTTAGCCAAGCATGCTGGCATACACCTGTAGTCCCAGCTTGGGAGGCTGAGGCAGGAGGATTGATTGAGCCCAGGAGGCTGCAGTGAGCCATGATTGCGCCACCGGCACTCTAGCGTGGGTAACAGAACAAGACCTTGCCTCAAAAGTTAATAATTAATTAATTAAAGTCTACTAGATCAATTTTTAAATGTCACTTTACTGCATGTATCATTAGGGCAGTTTAATAATAAGATAATTTATGTAAATTGTTTAGACAGCAAAATGTGATGAACACTAATGAACACAAATAATCCTTGCTTCTTAAATTGTTTTTCATGGCAATTATAAATCTTTTTGTTTTTTTTCTGAGGTGGAGTCTGGCTCTGTCACCCAGGCTGGAGTGCAGTGGTGCCATCTCGGCTCACTGCAACCTCCGCCTCCCGGGTTTTAAGCAATTCTCCTGCCTCAGCCTCCTGACTAGCTGGGATTATAAGTGCACGCCACCACACCCAGCTAATTTTTGTATTTTTAGTACAGACAGAGTTTCATCATGTTGGTCAGGCTGGTCTCAAACTCCTGACCTCATGATGCACCTGCCTCGGCCTCTCAAAGTGCTGGGATTACAGGCATGAGCCACCATGCCTGGCCTGTTATTTCAATAAGTATTGGTGCCTGCCATGTATCAGGCTCCATGATGGTTCTGGGACATAGGCTAGGTTTTGTCTCTTTAGGATTTTTAGGTTGCAAAGTATTTTTATTTCCCCCTGTATATCAGTAAATCTTTAAATCTCTTTGCGTGGAGGTGAATTTTGTAGTTTCCATTTTTCGCCCAAGTTTTCTACACTGAGAATTTTTATTCATTAGGAAAAAGCATATTATTTAAAGCAAGGCAAGACCCTTCATCATTGGAGGGAGTGTGTGACACATGCACAAGCCAGCGCTGGCAGTACCCACCCCCCGAGAGAACCTGGCCCTTCTCCCCAGAGGGCATCAGCCTGGGTACAGGAGTAAGACAGTGACTCCAGGCCCAACCCAGCAGCCTCCCTGGACGCAGTCAGCAGCTGGTGCCTGAGATTGCGCCAGGTCAGTGGTTCCACAATCCAAACCATTAACTGCCTGGTCGGGAGTGAAGTTCTTACCAAAACTCAGAGAAATGAAAGAAAGGGTAATGCAACAAGCTTTTCATATGCTATTCACTTTATTTTCTTTTATGAGTGGTTAAAATGTCTTCTTTCATGAGTTAGTTATATTTGACAAAAGTAAACATTGGAGACCCTATAAGTATCCTCAAATTTTTATTTTGAAATTTTACTGATGCGTAAGATCTTAAAATCTAGGAACCCCTGGGCTGGATGACCTTGAATGACCTTCCCAATTGTAGGGAGACATTTGTGTTTCAATGGAAAACCATGCATTATCTAGAGAAGACGCTACACACTTTTTCTGTAAATGACCAGATAGTAAAAATTGTAGACTTTGCAGATGACAACTTTTTAACTCTGCCTTTGTCTGGTGAAAGCAGCCATAGATAAGTT